GAAATTATAGACACATAAAATCACACAGTCTGTAAGAATTCTATTCTCTATAGGAATTTTGGGGCCAAGAAACTATGTGTAGACATCAATCTCAGCACCTTGCTCCTCCCAGGCAGGCCCTGTGCCACCCAGCCATTCCCCTGCCCAAACATTTTAAAAAATCAAAATAGTATACTACATAGGTAATTATCTACCAGACCACCACTAAATTTTTCTCCCAGCATCATTTCTAAAAGTCTACCAGCATGTGTTGAATGAGAGGGGACAGACAGTTTGCTTATGAATATTTAGAAAATGTGAGGTTAATCCTAACTAGGCAAGCCTGTTTCCTGTGAGATTTCCTATGAAACTCCAAAGAAATCAAGACAAGGCCATGGTGTGCATTTCTGATTCGCATACTGTACCACTCCTTTGGTGACTCCTCTGTTTGGATATTTCTCCCTCTGCAGATATATGGTGGAAATCAGCAGTTTTTGACAGTAAAACATTTTCAAGAGCATTGTAGCTGATAAATGACATGGTGAAGTACTGGTTTGGGGAAAATAATAAGGTAATAGTGCTCAGGAGAGAATAAAGACCCTTACAGTAGGGGATTTACAAAGATAGGTTGTAATGACTTGGGAATACTTGAGACAAAGAGCTTCATTGTAGGACAGAAAATGAGAGTGCGTCCTCACCTCCGATTGCCACTTACAGATGAACTAAGGAGTACAAAAAGCTGCAGATGAAGGACAGAGTGTAATTTGTACACAGGTGAGAGGACAGGAGTATTCATTCTAACAGATTGACTTCCTGAAAGAAGCTAAGATAAGAAGGATGTACACTCTCAACTGAAACACATTTATTATTTTCTATGAAGTGAGGGAGAAAGATGAACAGACTAAGGAGAGGTCAAGGATAATTTAGTACAAAAAATAGAACAGTAATCATGATCTTACTATGAAAAGCTCATTGATTTGAGTGATTAGAAATCCACTGGGAAGTTTTGCAGAACTATATTTCAACTAGGAGAAGAGTGAAAATATAAATATAAATTGCATTTCTTGACCTAGAGTAATTTTGAGATTAGTAAATATATAAAGAAGAGAAAGGGAGAGAGTTGACAACCAGAGAGAGGTAATGGTGGGAGACCTTGAATCGTGAGTCGGTTGGGATACTCCATGTACAGCATCCACCAAAAAATGTGTACACTCTTTAGCAGTTTGCTATACTAATAAATGTCCTGAAGCTAATGGCCACCACTTTCAGCACGTCTTGTAGTTATAGAGGCTAAAGTTGACTTGTATTAACTCATGTTGTCTCCATAAATTTAGTATCAAATATTTATACAAGGTTTTCTTTTCCTGACATATACATTTTTTTTTTGGCAGACTCTGTATTTAGATGAGTTGATCACAGGAAATAATGATTATATGTCTTGCTCAGAGAAAAGGAAAACAGTGAAAAGCTTTATAAAGAGGCAGAGAAAAATGGAAAGGGATGCAGACCTGACTATCAGTGTCTGTTTCCAAGGGTACTGTCTTATGGGCAGGCAGTTATCTTATCGATATTTTGACCTCTTGTTCCAAAGAATGTGCTATAGAATCAAAAGATATGAAACCAAATTTCCAAGACATAGTGCAGTCCAAGTGGGAGTTAGAATCTATTATTTTTCTTCAGCGACACAGCAAATGGTCACCCATTTGTCAGCTCGAGACAACATCCATCTGTCACCTGGGAGTTTCACAGAGCAATTAGATATCTTTGTGGGCTCATTGCTCCAGTTTCACAAGGCTTAAATGCAGTTGTCCCCCACACTTGACACAAGTTAGAGCCTGAGGGAGGGTGTGCTTCTAGGACAGCCTGCGTCTTTCACTGTGGAAGGCAGATCACCATGTTCCTGAAGGGTCCCCTGTAGCCCAACTCCTGGCCACTAGACCCACCAGTTTATACCTTCAAAGAGAGCAGCTGCTGCCCTGCGCCCTACTCACAAAGCATTGTGCTTTAAGAGCCCTGACTGTGCTGACAGAAAAAATTTTCCTTTTTAAGGAATAGGTAATAATTCATCAATAATTATGCTAATCTCACTCAGAGGGTCTGCTATGGTTTGGGTCCTAAGGTTCTCCCAAAGCCTTATGCAGTCATGGCCCATAGGCTTCTAGAGTTTTGATTTATTCATGGTCCAAGGCTGGGAAAATGGGTAAGAGTGCCACCCTCGCGCTAGGGCAAATAGCCTGCATCCAGTATAAGCGAGGGAAGGAGGCCTGCTGTCCACTGCTTCTCCCATTTGCTCCAGCTGCTTTTGCTGTTTTCTACCGCCATGAACTGCTGCCCTCTGCCATGTGCCACTCTGTTTTGGAACCAGCTGTGGAACTGAAACCTCCACAAACTGTGACTTAAATAAGTGTTTCCTTCCTTAATTCAGGGCATCCAGTACTTTGTCTCAACAATGAGAAAAAAGTAAACAAGATACAGTCTTACTTCTCGAAAACACCAAATCACCTCATGAGGATATTAGTTACATTTACAAAACACCTTCTTCTAGGTAAGGTAGAATCGTGAAGGTCGTATCCTATTGACAGTGATAAGGATTAGATTGGGAAGCCTTGAGGACCATTTTTCAAATCTGGTTAACATAGATAATTTGATTATATTACTTTATATTTTCATTGTTCAGTTTCCTATAAACTTGAGTTGATGTACCTTAGATATGTCCTAGAATGTCCAAAAGTGATAGAAAAAATGTAGAAAATATGGATATTTTAAAATATTTTTATTCGTTTTATTAATCACTATAAGTGAATATATTCAATCACTTTAAAGTATGATGGATTTCTTATGTATTAAGTTTCATTTTACATGGAGTATCTGCTTGTATGTTTAAGTTCAAATTCTTTGGGGTGGATCTTCATGATTTATACATTGTTGATGTTGTTCCTGAGATTCCGTCTGTGTCCTTGGCCAAGATCCCAGTAAAATACTGGAAGAATTCTTGGGGAAATAAAAAGAAAACAAAGTTGATATGGGAAAATATTAAGAAAAAATGTTAGGGTCAAAAAGGGAACAGTACATCACCAGAGAGTTTAAAATTGCATACCTGTCAGATTATGCTTTGAATATTTTTAATGTATGCCATGTAATAAGACTATTTATGAAATAATTCTTTCAATCATTTCAAAAATGTTGTGCATGTTTGGAATATTATAATAGAATATCTAATAGAGGGGGAATTACTAATCAAAATGTATTAAATTTTAATTCCCTGGCACATTCAGGTTTTATAAAGCACATAAAACTTGAGCAATGAAATACATAAATTATTGTTCTTGTGGGCCAGGGAGATAGCTCAGTGGAATAAGTGATTGCCTGGCAAGCGCAAGGTCCTGAGTTCAATCCAAGGTATCAAAAAAAAAAAAAAAAAAATCATTGTCCTTACTTTTGATACAAAGGAACCAAGTTATTCAGTAATTTAGCTAATTCCACTGTCTCATCATTAGTGTATGTCAGAATTAGCTTTCATATTAAGTATGTTTGACTTTGGAATCCAAGACACTGATGATTATACTAAATACTTGTCAAATGACATATTTAAAAATAACAAATAAGAAAGTGCAAAATAAGTTCATTTGTCCTTAATTTCTTTTTCTCAGATTTGACTTTTTAAGTGGCTGGTACACATCAGTGTCTCCTCACTGTCCCAGGCATGCTCTCACTTTGCAGAAAGTGCACTACATATCATTATGCTTGACAAAGTGAAGTCGCACTGTTCAGCACACTTATTAAATTCATATAACTGCAAAAGTATCCTTGTTCCAAATTTAACACCTATTAGCATGCGTGAGAAACAAAAACTGGTAAACAAAAATAAAAATTTAAAATCTTTTGTCAAATTGCTTTACTATTTGAATTTGTTAAAATTAAATTTTAAAGATTATAATATTTCAGAATATATGACCTAATTTTTTAATTTTGAAATTTATGAATTTCCGAGTTCATCTGTTTCATCCAAACACTCCTAAAATGTTAAATGGATTTGTCTTAGATGTTCTGAGGCCATTTCACTCTATGTTTTCCAATATGAAATGCTGTCTTTGGGTTGTGCATTTAATTACCATCTGCAAATTGGAACTATTTTTTGGAAAGTTGCAGAAATGTCAAACCTAAATCTTTCATAAAGCACCACGAGAATTTAAATACCCATTAAATAGGCCACAGGCATATATTTCATTCATAATATAGCAATAACCTGCAGTTATTATGCATGGTCATGTGTTCTCCACAACTGGCTTAGAGGAGTATGTGTCACAATTTGGCTTATTTTATTCAGACTTAGCTTTCAGTAAAATATTCTATTATTCATAACATAACCTTTATGGAAGGAGTTCACATATTTTAAATATTATTAAAATATTACCAGCATCCCTATCCTATGTGGAGCAAATGGATGGCTAGTTTATTTTACTCACAAATGTAGGCAAAATAATTAAGAACCAAAACTGAGAAATTGGTTAAATTTCTAGTATGATTTTCAGAAATGTAAGTAGCGTATAATAGTCAACTTTGTGCCTTGTGTATTGGACTGTATATTTGACTCGAGATAATTTAAATGAAGCTATAAATGTATATGCTCAAAATTCTAGATTCTTTTGATAAATTTTTTTCTAGAAAGATACGTTTCAGAAATTCTGGCCTACTGGTTTTCGAAACAAATGCTTCAGCACTGGTTATTAAGAAGCAGGATTTCCAAACTATCATAAGAAAGAAGGCCTGGTTTTATTTGCTTTTCAAAGCTTTCTCATGGTGTTCATGGGAAGAATGTTACTCTTTGTGGCTACAAAATTTTGCCCATTACTTACTATTATTCCAGTTGTTTTTAGTATTCTGAACTTCTGATTGTGTTAGATATATGAATTGAGTTAGTGGATGCAGAAAGGAAGATAGCTGTAATCTAATGTAAGTTTTTAGTAGCGTTCGCACAAGACTTGAGTGAGCTAACAACATTTCTTGGTGTCCGCAATTAGTTGTTGCAGGGGAGATCGCCCAAGCCGGACAGGTGGGAGCTTCCGGCGCTGGGCAGCGGAGGCGGCGGGGCGGAGCAGGTCAGCGGGGACTGCGACGACGAGGACGGGTGTGAGGGGTCCGGCAGCGGAGAGGTCCGGAGGACGGTGAAGGTCACGCGCTGTAAGTGGATGATTTTGATACCATTGGGAAGAATTTATTTCGAAATGTAGTCCATAGTTATGATGCTAAATAGAAAGTGCCGGTATTTTGGTCTCTTGCACACGGTAATGAATTCAGAAGCAGATCAGAGAAGTTGGAAATGAAGTTGTTTTGATTTTTATTTAGGACATGTGTTCTTGGGGATTTTGTTTGTTAAAAGAGAATAGCAATTTTTTTTAATGACACATTCTGAGAATTACCACCAGTTCTGAGAATTATAAACGTTTAGTACTAGGCAAATTCTTGGGACATAATGGAAATTAAATATATATTGGTAACTATGGCCAGGAAAACAGGTCAGTGGTACAAGTGCCAGTCAGGCAAGCATAAGGTTCTGAGTTCAATTCCTGGTGCCAAAAACAAAACAAAAAAGTCTCATACTTTGGTAAATAATATAAATATTTACCTACCCTGGTAGGTAATGAATAAGCACTACTAGCTAATCCAATTGTGCAACTTTTAAAGTACTGCGTCACCACAGAAAACTTTTTACTTTATTGGATATTCTGTACAGTCAAATTGCAAAAGAAACTGATAAATATGGGGTTAATAATTGTGAAAACGGCTTGGTTTTAATTCACGAATTTGCACTTTCCAAAAATCTCACCAAATATTCACTTAGTTTTAATTGTGCGGATTTGAAACCGTTTCAAGCATTGCTGGTATTTTGCTCACTTGCAAAAAGCAAAAAGGAAAATGAAAAGAACTAAATAGATTTATTCATGATCACAAGATGAAAACTGGAGGCACTCTGCCTTCCACGGTTGTTGGTATGCATTTGTGTATGTGCGTGAGGCAGAGGTCAGTGGAGAAAGGTCCGTCGGTAGACATACCAAGCGTGCCTCACTTTCAGCTGTTCATTTAGCTCGGATCCTATCAAAGGTGACGCCAAATGATGAAGACGTGCACAGTTCTACTTGGAGGTCTGGCCTGGTACGCTTGGAGTTACCTAGGGGTACTTTGGACCTGCGGCACATGCCTTCTAGGGGAATAACACTTCATTTACTTTTTAATTTTCATGCAATGAGGCAAGAACAATAGAATGCTTTTCAAGCATCCCTTTCTCATTTGCTCTAGGACCTCAATCCTAGTTTTATAAGCTGAATATATTGGTTAAAGGGATGGAAGCCAATAGAGGTAAAATGGTGCCTGTTTATAATCCTGGCTGTTAGGAAGGCTGAGGCAGGAGTATTGCAAATCCCCGGCCAGCCTGGGCAATTTAGTGAGTTTCTGTCTCAAAATAATTGTTAAGAAAGGTTTGGGGATACACTTCAGGGGCAGAGGCTCCAGGCTTCCATCTCCACTACTGCTGTAAAACTACATAAATGAATATGAAAGACAATTAACATACAGAGATGGTTTCCTATTAGATATAGTAGTAAATTTTGTTTATTATAGAATGTAAATAGATAGGAGTCAGTATATGTGAGCAACAGTTGGATAAAGAATTACGAAGATTTTTCTGCAAATTAAATACCTTCTAGTCTTAGAGATGTGGATTAAGATATGTGTTCTCGTAGTAGTTAACACTAATATAGCTTACCAGGTTGTTTTGCCTTTTTGTTTCCTTGAGATGTTTAGGGGAAAACAACAGTAGAAGAAAATGAAAACAAGGGTTTTTACTCAGACAAAATTACTCTTACTGGGGTAGATGTCTTCTAATGTATAAAGGTAGGGTGATATTTATCTATTATAATATTGAACTTAATCTCATTTTTATCATATCTAGAATACGGATATGTGCTATAATCTCACTGTCATTTAAATGCTGGCAGGAGTAAAGAATGCAGAAGTATTGCAGGAAATTATTTCACATGTGAAATTTTATCTATAATATGTGAATATTTGCATTGTGCATCTGTATGGTATAGAATTGGCATCTCTATGGGAGTTTTCACTTTTTGAAGATACTTATACACTCAAAGACTTACAGACAATTATCTTGGTTTGTTTCATGAAAGAAGTAAAGACGGTGAAGGATATTCAAGCACAATTTTCTCACAAAACCGCTTGTCAAGGTGGCAAGGATGATTTTTTTTTTTTACTTCAAAACCTTGGTTTCAATTATTGCTGAAATGGATAGGTATGGTTCAGACAACCACCCATCAGAACTGAATAGATTAAGATATAGATGATTTTCAGCAACTGCAGGCAGACATGAAAAAAAAAAAATCCACACCACCTTGATCTAAGTGGGCTGCTTAATATGTTTCTGAGAGTTTATAGCTACTGCCTTTCAATTTTTAATAAGTGGTTAGGAAAGCACTGTGGATAGCATGCTGAAATAAAGAAGGATAAGAAAAGCATCAAAGTGTAGGGCAAGTTTCTATTTTTTAAAAAAATCATTGTAATATTTTACTTTTTTGGCTCATTTGACACATTAGTAAAGTAAATTAAACATAGTTTTTATGGTTTTAATGACTTAAAATACTACACTGTACAAAACTCACTAAGGCATGATTCATATTAAGAGCTTGGAATATGCCATTATTTCTTCCTGGCATTTAAGTTTGTTCCTTAGAAAATACAATATAAGTACAAGTACAGCACAGTTAATTTATTGCCTCTAAAAGATGAAGTAAAGATTTATACATGTGCAAGTAGAGGGAATAACACTATTGTTATATTCTATAAATTAAACATTTCTGTTCCAATTTTGCAAATTCATAGTAATTGATATTTTCATTAGTACACTTGAAATTATGTTTTGTTTCAGTTTTTGTTCATGGTTACTTCAGACAGCACCGGAAAATATACATTTTAATACGCCAGAATTTACCATCAAACTATTGAGATATATTTTAGCTGTCATTTTTTAATCACTAGCGCCATCAAATTATTTCATAGTTTAAGGATTTTTAACTATTTTTGTAATCCTAATTGTAGACTATAACTAAATGTCGACTAGTTAACTTTTTTAGAAAAAAGCCCTCTATCCTGTAATAGTTTTCATTTAAGAAACTGAGAACATGAGTATGTTTTAGCAGAATGGTTTTAAAATCCCAGTATTATAGGAATATTTTCTAGTCTTTTTATATTCTTTGGCCCCTTTCATAGACATGGGAGTTGTACCCATAGTGAGGATCTTTCGCGGCTCCCTCCCTACTGCACCTGCATCTGCCCTCCTATCAGAGGCTCATTCATGCAGGAGAAAAGGCCAGTGCAGGGAATAAGCGCTCTTTCTTTTGTCCTGGTAATAAAGCTGGGATCACTAAAATCAGCAGCTTTTGGGCAGCATGACCACTCTTCTACTCTGAATCCTGACAGCTCCGAATGTGGAAAATCCAAACAGGAGTTCTAAGGACAGACGATAGGAAAACTGTTCCATGTGTAATTCTGAAAATCTGTATAGCATTGCTTAAAATTTTCTTGTAAAAATTAAGATTTATATTGCACAATCTCTGTATATCATCCATAAGCAAATTCATTTGGAGAGGGTAATTCAAGGTAACAATCTCAGGGAAAATGAATTTGATGACAAGGTGATTCAGATACAAGGAAGTTATTTTTTAAAAATAGTAATACTTTTTTCTTTAAATCTGTTGACACAGTTAAGATCTGAATTATTTGTAACTAAGCTCTATCATATATGCAACAGACTACTTATATATTGCTTATACAGTGTGATGTAATGTTTAGCAATTTCAAGAAAGTTACACTTTTATTGAAAAATCTGTAAATATCATCAGATTATTTGTAAATCTGTAAATATCACTCATTATTTGTGCTAATAATATTTTCCCTAGTCATTTCATCCGTGTTCCCAAGGGACAGTCATGACATATGTTTGTATGGAGTGGCCAGTTCGGAGTCTCACTGTAGTACTCTGATCCCTAGGGCCCTCCCGTCCAGACACCTTCTCAACATCTTTCTTTAGAAGGACTGTTCACCTATTTCTTCTCCTCTTATTTCATTGGATGTCATTACTCTCCTTGTAAATTACCCATAATCCAAATTCTAAACCTTTGAAGAACCCCAGATTCACTTCTCAGGCTCTGTCTCATCTCTCGTTACAACTGTCCCTTGTGTTACAGCCCCCTTACTCGGGAATTGTAACAATCATAATAAGGTATACTGTTGCTGGTAACAATATCTAGTGTACAAAGCATTTGCCAAAGTGATATCTCAAGAAAGGCTTATGGAAACAGAAAGCATTTGTCTAAATGTGATTAATTTTAAAAGACATAATAACATTGTAATATTAAGTTTCTACTTTTAGAAATGGTTTTTGATTGAACTTTTGTAGTGTAAAATACATACAAGTATTTTTATATTGTAGTTTGGGTTTCTCACTTTGTAACCTTATATCAGCCTCTAAAATATTAATCTACATCATGGAACTAAGAATGACCTTGGAGGCATTCTTACTGTACTCCCTGTGCACGGGAAAGTAGACATGGTCCTTTATCAGTCACCTTTGATCCAAAATCTCAGCTAGGCATAGAGGTAGGGAGAGTTCAAAATATACTTTATTTTTCTTTCCAGAATTGCTAAAACTATTTATTACATTTTAGGAATTATTTTATATAATTTCCACTGCATAGTTGATTAATTTTCCTTGCTAATGTAATTTGTATCAGAATGCACATTAAAATTTGTATACCATTAAAATAGTTCCACATGTGTATATTCCAAAATTCTATACATTTAAAAAAATTACAGTATCAGCAAATTTGATTAACATAAAAATATATTAAACTTTGCAAAGTATTGAATATTAGCCTATTCATAAATTATTCCAAAAATAAGAAAAATTCACTCAGAGTTACTAGATAGCTCATTATATATTTATGTTATTTATTTATAAAAATAAATCATTTTATAGAGTTACACTGATTAAGTTTATAACACATCAGATGCAGTCTTAAATAGTAATTCTGTATTTTCATCTACATTTTGCAAATGCCTAGTAATGAAGGATCAAATAAAACCTTCTACAATAAAACCACAGCAACATTTGC